CCAGCTCCATCCGGAGGTACCTCCCTGCCCGTGCCCCGGCCAAAACCACACACCCCCGCCTCATTTTAGTTCCCTCCCATACCTTCAGCGAAACAGTCAAACAAGTCTTGTTTCACACTGACAATTCCCATAGCAGCACATCCTGATGACATTACTTGCAACCTGCCCAGACCATCGTATAAATCTTTGGAAATGTGGTCCCGTAGTGTCGGTCCTGCCACCAGCTCCGTAGATGGCTGCAATGAGGCTGACACTATTTTAGTTTTAGCTAGCTACATCCAACCATTCTCACTTTCAGAAACTGAGAGCCACCAACTTGTATCCCTTCCTGCTCGAAAGCTTTTAATTGATTTCCCAACCAGTCCTCGCTGAACAACACCGTCACCTTTTACCATTATGAACGTCCTCTCTGTCCTGCCCGACATCTGTTCCCGTGTTCCATCAGCCCCTCCCCCGAGGGGCCCACAACGCATTGCGCATTACAAACTTGCGTTTCTTATTCACAGAACCAAGTTTTTCACCAGCCACTTACTCAATGAAAGCACTAAAGTGCAAACCCTCGGCACCTCTATAAAGTTGGACAAGTGCAACCCATTTCCATGTATTATTTTCACAAAATGCCCATCCCTATTTCTGTTTTGATGCCAAAAAAAGATATAGGTTGAAAATTGCCAACTCTCTAATTACCCTGGATTGTTAGTGCAAAAAAAAAAATTTTTAAACCTAAGTTGAAAAAATACTGCCAGCCCTTCATCTCTCTACGGCCGCAGTGCTATCCCGAACTGTACGCTACCCTTTGATAAACATGGGTCAGTGTAGATTTGTGGGTAAGGGGAGGACCAGAGTGTTTCCCAGCCAATCTCTTGACCATCTTACATTTTAGTGCGGATCGGGAACGAGAACCCCGGCACCTAGGTGTCAGTCCCCACGACTCTAACCACCAGCCACAACTCCGGCTGGGGCCTTGGAAGGTAATGAAAAAACGTTCCATATATACCAACACTCCCTATTTACATCATGTAAAAAAAGGCTTACACAACCCGGATCGAACCTGGACCCCCGATCACGATCAGAGAGGGGGTGCTATCCATCAGAACCCACAAATCCTTTAATGGAACAGTGCAAACTTACGATAAGTACTTGTGCAACTCTCGCGAACGTGCGCAACTAGCGCTGTACTCTAATGATGGGGCTGGGACCTATTAAGTCTGTGATGTCGGTACCCGTGATCGTCCGCCCGCTATATTGTAGCTCGCGGACGAGGCTGACTGAGCACTGTGCTAGTGTGCGTTACGGTTAGTAGGTAGGTCGAAATCTGACTGCTTTGGTTGTAATGTCTGTGATGTAAACGCCTGCTGTCGTTGGACTTCTTGTGCTCAAGTACACAGCAGCAGTCGGACCGGTCAGAGGTCAGCCTGTGCTATTAGCATATTGGCTTGTTCACTTGGGTTTCATGCCATAACTTTCTGAACGAGTCGCACGTTTTACAAAATCGCATTTAGAAAGGAGCAGTTTCAGCGCTGAACGCCCGTTGGTGTCGCTGATTTTAACTGTGTGTCGCGCGAATGTTGTGGGCAGAACGTGGACGGACGCCGACAGACGCGCGACTAGCGGAACAAGTACGGTACTACCTCGCTGCGCATGCGCGCCGCCGAGGGTTAATAAACTACATAAAACTGGATAAAAATCAATCATCCAATCTGAAAAGACAATATGATAGAATAAGATCTACTCAAATAAGATATCGACATGACTTTTTGATTCCTAACTAGAGGCATAGTCAGAGACAGGTCCATGTTCTACTCATAGATCCATTGACTGGAGGTTTGAACCCAGGACACCAGCTCTTCCTCCTTGAACCAGAGACTTATCTCTTTCTGAGCACTCTCCACACTATCACTGCCATGACAGATATTACTACAGGACGAGTGAGTTGGTAGTATGAGTCGAGACACACTGTCCTCACCGTCCAATGTGGATACAATAGTCCCCACGAATGGTGCCTGGAGCAGATTTTTGCTGCAGAGAGGCAGGCGATTATTAAGAGATTGCTACAGACATACCGGAGATATCTTACAGGGTCAGTCTCTCCCAGCATTATACGACCAGCGGCCACTGCATTCATACCCTCCCATACCTGCAGGGGCACGCAGTTAGTGCCACACACACAAGGCTAGAAGTGAGTCACCATGGCAGCTACAGGTCCTGAAGACATGAACTTGCACAGACCATCGTAGAAACCTTTGGAGCTGAGGTCCTTGTAGTGCTGCTTTACATGATCCAGAGACGGCTGCAGCAGAGCAAAGGTGTAACCACAGTTCACTAGTTAGATATTCACTCACCTTGAGAAACTTGAGAGCCACCAACTTGTATCCCTTCTGCTCGAAACGTTTTATGATTTCTCCAACCAGTCCTCGCTGAACACCGTCCACCTTTACCATTATGAACGTCCTCTCTGTCTTGTCTGCCTTCGACATCTTGGAAATATACACACGCACCCCCTCGCAAAAAACACGTGGTCTTTGATGCAGGCTAGGCGCGCTCTGCGTGTGTGTGTGTGCCTAGCTCGCTCTCGATCTGCTAGCTAAGCGCAAAAACTATAAGCGCGTGTTGAAAGGTAAGATGCAGCGGTGGAAGTTTCTCTCTCGTCTGGTGAAGTTCCGTCATTTGGAACTGGACAGCGCCTTCCAGCAGGTCTTCTGGACTGTTCTAGACCCCAAAAGACTGTGAGACCGTCTCCATGTGTCGTACCCAATATTTTTATCCCTCCATTCAGGTTTCGCTACCATCAGAACCAGAATGGTCAGTTTTTGTGAGCTGGTGCATCACGTGAGAACTTATTCTCTTCCATAGAGATGCAGGGACAATGGTCAAGAGACGATCCTTCGTTCTTCCTACTCCTCTGTACCTTCCTCGCTGGTGAGCCTCGTGCCACCATTCTGACCACACCCACTTTCTTCTGCCCCGCCCCCAGTGACATCACTGCTGCAGTCAGTGTGGATGGGCCAGAGAGCCTGGGGCTATATCCTAGCTCTTCTCTGGGCAGTACTAGCTGACGGACTGATTGCTGCTGTTCTTGTTGCAACAGTCATGTGGTAAAATGCCCGACGACATGTCTTATCTCTCTCACTAGTTTTCTCCCACAGGCTTGTGGCAAGTTATGCTCTGAGGAAGCCAGGGGCCAAGGCAGGGAAAGTGGAGTGGTCCTACTGCTTCGATGTTCATCTCAATTCCCTTTTTCCTCTGGTGCTGTGTGTGTATGGAGTCCAGTTGGTTGCATGGCCACGTGAGTCCCTCCATACTTGACTCTCCCTTACTCCCTCTCTCTCTCCCAGTGCTAGCCAGGGCCAACATAGGGAGTCTGATAGTGGCCAATACCCTCTGGTCTGCTGGATTTCTCTACTATACATACCTCACCTTCCTCGGATATACAGGTACAGTAAAACAGGACCCTTCAGTGTTTCACCTATTGTCGTTTCCTACCCCCCATCCTTCCTATACATATACAGCTCTCCCATCTCTTGACAACACGATGGGACTGTTGTATGTGGGACTGGGTGTGCTGTTTGTCTACCTCTTCTCCCTCCCACTGGGCTACAACTACTGCCTTCTCTTCCAGTCCTACCACTTATGGAGAACTGGAGGACTTCACTGACTCTCACCCTCTCTCTCTCTCTCTCTCTCTCTCTCCTCTTCATCTGCTCTGAAACAGCAATTTTCACAAGTTTAAAAAGCAACTGGAGGGGACAGTGAATACTGTGCGATTTAAAAGTCCCACACCCCATAAATCACGTGATTTGTGGACTAAACTGAAGGATGGGGTGGAGTGGGGTAATTTCACCCCTTGAGTACAGTGGTGGGGTGGGGTGAAGCCATAGCTATGTCTGTAGCTGCTGTTTTTTCTTGTAGGTGTTCTCGGGCGGTCTGTATGGTATTGGGAGGGTCAGAACCTGCAGGGCGTTGAAGGCATACTGCCGAGCTCCAATGTTCTTCTCTGCATTTCTGATACGAGTCCCGTAACTGGGGGTGTGGTAATGGGTGGAGTCAGAGCAACACAATTTGAATGGATTTTGGAAAAGAGGCTTGCTGCACTGGACTTACAATAGTACATGTGCCACAGCAACAAGTAGGCCAGTACTGCACACCAGTGTCAGTTCTCACACACACACACCAATAGACTGCATGAAGTAAGTACCTGCGCATGGTGTCCAGGCAGTGTTGGTACTCAGAAGGAGCCATTTTCATTTCCTTCACAAGAATCTGTGTCTGTTCCAGCGTCACACCCATTGCAGTTCGATCTTTAGCACTCTTACAACTGGTTACCCTTCCACCGTCAACAGTACGGCAAATCTGATGAGACAGAGAGGGGGAAGATGAGGAGAGGGATGATTGGACGGAAGCTCACCTCTTGGCTTAGTGCGAGGATCTCTACTTTCTTTGACTTGCGGGAATGGACGTGAATCCTCAGCTGCTCGAGGAGTTGGAAACTTCTCAGGCTTTTCTGGACCAGTGTCGTGCCTGCAAGTGGGCGGGAAAACCTCTCACATTTAGACTATAGCAGTTTCGTTCAGTACAATCTGATGTTGTTAGTGTTGCTAGCACTCATTTTCCCCAGCTTCAACAATAGCAGACTTTCTTCACCATAATTATACACTCGTATTTAAAGCAAGCCTAGTGACCACTGATGCCATCATTTAAGAAAAACCAATAACATCCAACCCAAGAGCACCGGGCCAGCTACAGTGGTCCTCACTGGAGTTCCCGAGACACTCTCTGTATCTGGAGCAGTAGGAGGTGAGTTCGGTGAGACTGCGGATGTTGATCTGGTCCTGGAGAGTGCTGTCTCCAAACCTGATCACAGGGGGAGAGGGCACTAATTGAGGGGAGGTCCCTGAGCTAACGAGCCAACCTGTCGGCGATGGTCTGCTGCTCATTGATTCCCTGGGTGAAGAGAATGGCAGAGACAGAGATCTCAGCACCATTCTGGAGGGGGGCTGGCAGGAGACGGAACATTGTCTTCTGGACTGGAACCTCCACACACATCTTGTAGCGACTGCCTGAGACCTGAGGGAAGTCCTGCAGCGTCTCTGCTAGACACAGCTTGGGGGAGGGAAATGGAGACTATCATGACACTGTAAAATATTAGACTTTAGCATTATGGCAGCCGGCTGCATTCACAAAACGTGTTTTACACAAAAAATTTTAACGATTCTCGGAAGTTATTGTTGTACGTTATGTAACTACTGTACAGGTGTGCATATGAAAGTGATGAAGTTTTATGGAAAGTGACAGAGACCGAGGTTTCCAAAACAATCCACCCGCCCAGCTCAAGAGACTAATTATCCCCACATCGGGAGCATTGGTAGTGACGTGCACCTTGAAAGTGAGTTGGTTGATGTCAGCGATGGCGACGATAAAGTCCTCCAACATTCCTTGTTCGTCTCCGTGAGTGGACAGAAGACTCTCCCAGTGGAGGAGAAACCCAACCTGAAACAGCAGAGAACACTATTCAGTCTCTCCCATAGTTCAAGGCTGTGTGTCTCAGTCAAACAAGTTGCAATGTGTATATGTATATGTCGGTCCCTAGAGAGGGGAGGAGACCTTGTGGAGCTGGGTGAGAAAGGAAGGAACGGCAAAACTCTGGAGAAGTTTGAAGACAAAGGAGGTGATGGTGACAGTCACGGCCTGGGAGAACACAATGTCATGGCGATGGAGGTAGCTCTTCAGACCCAGCGGAACCCTCTCCTGGAGCAGACTGTATGACTCCTGAAGGTGAGGGGGTGAGGGTGTGAGGTGTGGAGGTGGACTAACTAACTCTGAGGAAGAGGAAGATGACAGCCTTCCTGAAGATGGTGGTTGTGGTGGTAAGAGCAGAGAGGAAGTCCACCAGAGGTTTCTCCAGTAGCTCACACCACCTCTCTGCAGGCACATCACACCCTTCCCAGCTACACTCCACACCGCACACACCCTCCCCAGACTCACCAATATTGGAGGGGGTGAGGGAAGACACCACAGCTTCCACTGACACCACATGCTCCTCCACTCTTCTACACAGAGCAACCTGCACCCAGTCACACACATCAAATGACAATAAAACGTCGCACTTAAACAATTGTGTCTTGGAAAGTTTCGCAAATGCTACCACAGCAAATTTCATACTTACGACGTTAGTTTCAGAGAGTTTGAACTCTGGTTCTACAGCTCCAGCCAAGTCCCTGAGGGAGTCATGGATCAGGTTGATGTTACACAGGCTCTTGAGCTTGTGGACATTCTCAGCGAGGGCACGAGTGGAAGTGTGTACACTGGTCAAGACACGACCTCTGGCTGCAGATCTGATGGAGTCTACCTCCTTCTGTAGGTCCCCCAGTACCACTTCTATCTGACCTGGAGAGTTGACAAGACAACATTGAGTATACTGTCTGCTGTGGAGATGACAAAATGTGACACAGTTTGCCTAGTCTCTCAAACACATGTCTCACTTTGCTTTAAACCATACATAGTTGGTTGTACATAACACACCAAGCAGTGCTTGTCCCCTCTGAGTCTTGGTGACTGTGGAGGGGTTGGTGGACCTGCACCACATACAGAGGGAGAGAGAGAGATATCATTAGGTGCTGCATGTCAGCAGCTGACAGACAGACCCAATGTTGGCAAGAGGAGTGGTGGAGCGAAGTTTTGCCAGCCCTCCCTGTTTGAACTTGTGACTGTAGGCAGTCGGACAACCTGCCGTCACACACGTGTACACCACTCTCTCTGCGGGGGTGAAAGGTCATACGAGTGGCAGGCCACACCCACTAGGACCCACCTTTCTCTTCCTCCCCGCGTCCAACCTTCATCTGCTGAATGTGCAGGTTTACAGGTACAAAGTCCAGCTCAGGCATACCCTTTGCTGTGGACTTCTTGAAAGTGACTCCAGCCTCCAGCTGGGCCTGTGGTATGGGGTATGGAGGAATGGATTGACAGAGTATCGGAATCAGACCTGGAGTCCACTGCAGTTCTCCTTGTATTGTGAGATCATCTCCGAGTGGACCAGAGCCACCTCCTGCCTGCCAATCTCCCATTCTTGTCGCAGCTGCACACACACACCACAGGGGGTACAGTAGGGCAGCTGATGTGCGCGACATGCAGTGAACTCACTCCCTCGAGACTGGCATACTGCTGCAGAGCTCTGGTCTCCTCCTCAATAAACAGTTCTCTATGTATGTATGTATGTATGTACATGTATGTACATGTATGTATGTAGGAATTAGAGGATGGTGACTGGTGAGCTCACAGTAGCTGCATGGGGATGCTAAATGAATATCTTCCTTCACCCATCACTTCAGTCACCTTCAGCTTCTCATCACTACTGTTACTACACATTCGGGGGAACAAGGAACACAAGAAACATTGGAATTGAGGAGGCCTTCCTTATTCAGTATGGGGCAAACTTCCTCTTACAGAGAAGACATTCTTCTTCAGAGGATTTCATCGTACACGGATGTTACTATTCATCGTGGCTCACATGACAGGGAAAAGGTAGCTGCGGACCACAATGTTGTCCATTGGAGCACTGAATGAGAACTTGGCTGGAGACATGAACTCTGACCCTGGTTCCGAAGCCCCGCCCCCTCCATCTGCGACGTCCTCCTCAGACAGAAGGTCTGGTGTGGGAGATTTGGTCACCTGAGAGCCAGCCGAGAGCTCCAGGCCACTCTCTCCTCCATTGACCTCCGACTGTGGGGAGTACAACATCCTCACAACTAGCACACCCTCTCCGTTGTCACCCCTCACACACCTTCCATGCTCGGATGTGGAGGTATCCGCATGTGACATCATCAAACTTCACCTCCAGTCGACAGCAAGTGTCTGGAGCCTTTATAATATCCAGGACTGTGCAGGTAGCCTGTCCTATAGGACACATCTGAGAGAACAGGACACACTACTAGATTATCCACAAAGGAGAAAACTACTCACTGTGCTCTGTACAATTGATCACACCCACCTTGGACTCATGTTTGTCAAAAACTTCAAATTTGATGCGAGTGTGGAGAGAGACAGAGCCAGCGTAGAAGACAACAGTCGTGTAGAACTGAGGGTCGCAGTTGTGCTGTGTGTAAAGAGAGGGGCGTGGCTGGGGTGTGGCCAGAACTAATTGCATACCTCAACCACTTCAGTTTGTGCGTATCGTATCCAGTAGGCCTGAGGTGGGCGCATGCAACTGGTGACTATTAGACTGTTGGGGACTGAGTCGTGCAGACTGCCCACCAGGGAGCTGCAGGCTGTAGAGCAAGAGGGGTAAGAAGGGGTAAAGAGAAAGTGTGGGGGGAACAGCTGACCGAGAGAGAGCTCAAAAACTGCCTTTCCTTCAAATGCAGGTGCCGTCGTCGGCAGAGCTGGAACTGTCTGCTCAGCAATTATGAAAATGGGAAGGAGACACATAAAATTATGAGAGAGATAATCTTACAGTTATAGGGAGAGTGCCCAAAGGATGGTCCTCCACCAGAGGATCCTGCAAGAGAGAGAGAGAGAGATGATTGAGGGAGTATGAGAAGACAGCGATGATCTGACCTTTCCAGTGAGGTGCATCAGCTGTCCTCGCAGCTCAGAGAACGCCATTCTCAGGTACTCGTAACTGCAGGTGGTTCCATTACAACAGTCACTTCAACTGAGACCACACCCACCTGGTGGTGGCGATAGCTGTTCTCCACTCATCTTGTTCCCTGGCAGAGTTGGCTACAAACGAGTATCCAACTCCATCCTCGTCAAACACTGACATGTGGTGGTGGGGGACCAGTGATAAAAAAACACACGCAACGCACATCCTCCCAAACAGTTTTTGTTCACATCCCAATTGCTATGGTATGGGCGTCAAGACAACCAACACACCACCCACACACACTCACTGAGTCGGAATCCATTCCGGTTGCCTTCAGTGCTCTCCACCTCCACACGGCATTTCTCCACTATTATCAGACCCACCACCATTGAATCCTGCAGAGTATACACACACTCACTGGGCCCAGGCCCACTTTAGTTAGGTGCTCACTGGATGCTCTTCCCTACAGTAGAACAGTAGGTTTCCAGTCAGCAGGAACCATCTCTGAGTGTAGGCTGAAGAATCACGGTTTCAGTGAAAGTACAAACTTCAATGTTCTAGGTACATATCTATGGTAAACTCACTCTCTTTCTTCTTTATAAGTCCTTCATATTCTTTCATCCACAGTGCGCCCTCCTTGTCAGCCTTACCGAAGCGCGTGGAGGCATAATATGCCAGTTCTTTCGTGTTGAAACGCATCTTCCCGCTCTCAAACGGCTCCGGCTTTGTTTAGAGAGGCATCAATTAGAACAAATACCGGACTCGCGCGCGCGCCATTGCTCGCGAGTGATGTCTGCACTGCGAGCGGAGGAGGTGGAGGATGGGAAGGGGGAAGGCTCGGGTGGCGTTCCATGCAGTGGGCTGCGGAGAGAGCTCCTGGATTGCCTGAGAGAAAGTGACTGTGTGAAAATAGTGAGCGTTCCGCGGTTAATTTCCCCAGTAAATTTGCTGGTGTGAAGAGGGTGGAGCATTTAGTGCCCTCTTCCTGGAATGACCAAAGGTTGAGATCATACATTACCTGTTGTCATATGAGGAGGCCTTGGCACAGTTACAAACCCCTCTCTCCAAACCTCCACTCTATCTAATGGTCTCCCTGTACCATCTTACGTCAGCTGTTGGATAAGGCTTACCTCGTTTAGTGTGTTTCTCGATTTCTTTCAGCACGGCATGTCTCCTCGCGAGTGTCTGCAAGACGGAGCTCCAGGCCAGAGGGCAGAATGTAATTCATTCAGACTCGCCTTCTTTGAGTGCAAGCGTTCGCTGGTATGATATACAACAGGGACGGTATTGTGATAGGGTTGCTGTAGTGGTAGCTGCTAACAGAATTTGTGACTGACTTTGGCCATGTGTTTATTGTAGTTGGACAACCGCCAAAGGTTCCGAGGCAGAAAAGGCTACTGACACAGTCTGCACAGCAGTGAAACGTTATATGTGACGTCACTCGCTATACACGCAATGTTGTTACCGTGGTGTGTTATCAAAATGTGTGAAATTCTCGTATTCCGCGCGTGCGCGGAAGCCCGCGGATATATACGGCTCGATTACAATTTTCGGTCATTTCGACGATTACCAGCAGGTAAGCAGCAAAGCTCTCGCGCTACCACGACCTTGTGCCTTCAGCACACTTCGACGACACTCGTTTACGAGTGACTAAAGTTTCAAGCCATTCAACGCAAGACGATTTGTCTGAGCGAAGTCCCCCCCAACGCCATGGCCTTTTCGGAATCCAGCCACCCCACACAGCAGGCAAACAGCCTGGTCTCCTTCCTCGACACGGCATCCAAAACCATCACCGGACTCATGGGAGAGTCCAGCAAGGGAAACAAGAGGAAAGTCAACCACAAGAAGTACCTACAGAAGCGACTACAGAGAAAACCGGCCCAGCCGAAGGCGTCAAAGCAGACAAAGAGCAAATCAGCTCAGCAGCTCCCACCTACCGCCTCGGCCTCTAAGGCGCGGGAGATACCCGCCTCTGGCGCCCCATCGCCGATAGTTCACCACAACTCGTGGCCACAGCTACCCGGCTACTCCCATCCATCTTCAGTGGAGCCTGACATTGACTTTCTCCTCCAACAGCTCAGCTCCTCTGCCTCTGACATGCCACCCGTCAGTCGCCCATGCTCGGAATCTTCCTTTTACCCTCTCCGCTCCTTTGCTGGCCCCCAGCCGCTGCCCACGGTCCCACTAGAGAGCCAGGTCCTCATCGCAGAGCAGCCCTACGGCTCTCCCTACACACCATCCAACAGCTCCGTGGACGAGCTCCTGGACGACTCCGCCTATTCTTCTCCATGTAGCAGCATCCACAGCTCCCCAGCCACAGCCTCTCTGGCCCAGGAGTGGCAGTGCTGCCCCGTCACCACCTCAGTGCCAGTCTGCCTCCCATCCACCACCAGCAATTGCTGGGGAATTCCCCCATCCTGCATAGCCTCATGTGTGGCATCCACCAGCGACTGGCTCCCCATGACATCTTCTGCCATCACTACTGCCTGTCCCATGGACCAGCACCTGCCTCCCACTGTGCCACAGCTCTGGGATCAAATAAACTTCTGTGAACAAGTTCACTACTAACTTTTTCTGCCCTTTTTATCTGCACACTATACCCCTTTTGTCAGACAGGAAGCACCTTTTGCCTCCATTTTGCTCTATCATAACTCTGGTCACTTTTCCACAATGTACTCGTAGGAGGTTACGCATTGCGCATGCGCAATGGTGAGTGATGAAGAAGGTCCTGATAACGGGAGCGTCTGGTTTGCTGGGTCGAGAGCTATGCAGGCAGTTCAGGAAGGCAGGGTGGGAGTGTCTCGGTCTAGCCTTTTCACGGCTGGGGGGTGGACTAATAAAAGTTGATCTCTGCCAAAAGGACGAAGTTGAGAAGGTTTTGGAAGAGTTCGAACCTCACGTGATTGTTCATGCGGCGGCTGAGAGGAGACCGGACGTGGTGGCCAAGCAAACTGAGCAAGCTCGCACCCTCAACGTTGATGCCACGGTACAACTGACTCAGCTCTGCCGACAGAGAGGGGCATTCTTGCTCTACATCAGTACAGACTACGTCTTTGATGGAAAATCGCCCCCATACCTTACCTCTTCCCCTACCAACCCTCTCAACACGTATGGAGTCACCAAAAGAGACGGAGAAGTCGCCGTGGCCAAGTACGAGAAGGGGGCAGTGCTGCGAGTGCCGGTGTTATATGGAGAGGTGGAGGAAGTGGGGGAGAGTGCAGTGACCACTCTACTTACTGCAGTACTGAACACCTCCCAGCAAGCCAGACTGTCTGACTATGAGCAGAGGTACCCGACACACGTCCAAGACGTTGCAGAGGTCTGCAAATGTCTCTGCAGCCGGCAGTGGGCGGAGCCAGGTGTGGGAGCGGGGGTGTGGCACTGCTCTGGGGAGGATCGTCTGACCAAGTACTCCATGGCTTGTATCATTGGTCGTGAGTTGGGACTACCCACAGACCACCTGGTGCCAGTGAGGGAGCCAACTGCCGGGGCCCCTCGACCTTACGATTGCCGACTGGATTGTACCTCCACCAGAGCTGCCTTCCCCACTTCCCAAACACCTTTTGTATCTGGCATTCGAAGCGTTCTCGTTTCTCATGTCTCGAAATAGAAGTATCTAGGTGTATGCTACCAGAGCCACTGGTGTGTATGTGTACAGTGTGTTTGATCTGTAGTAGTCATGTTACACACCTCGTTCACTCTGTAAGTATTTGTTAATAATGCTCATGAATTTTTGTACTTGTGGGACGCGCCTCTGTGCATACTGCGGTCGGTAGCTCCATACTTTACGACTCACAGAGGGGATCGTGAGAAACAAGCAATTGGCTTCTGTTGACTCCTTGTGTTCAGTGAGCGGTGGAGAATGCCGGAGTCCCACTCGGAGACGGTGGCCTTGGCCGTTCGTGCAGCTACAGAATGGATGGAGGTGAGCTCGGGTGCTACGCCCCTCTTTTCGCGTACACTATACTCCTAATACCGTCCGCAGGCTGCGACGGGACGGCGCTTCCCCCCCGACCGAACATTCCGTGCGACTCTGGAGGACGGGGTTTTGCTCTGCGAGTAAGTTTCTCTTAGTTTCTGCGACACCAATACAGTCTTCTTCTGCAGGCTGATGGACAACCTCAGTCCCGGCCTCCTTCGCCACACTCCTCATCTTGTAAGTCTCCCGTCTATGAAGACGTTCAGAGTAGAGTTTTGATGTCGCCCACAGCGCAACGTGGAGAGATTTCTGATGGGCTGCAAGGACCTTGGGATGAGCAACGAGCAGCTGTTTGAAGATACAGACCTCAGGGACCCCAGTCTCCCAGATCAGAGCAGGTTAGTGTGAGCAAGTTACTCTGCATCACCCTATCAGCTCACCCTCGTTATGCTAGGGATAAGAGAAAGAGTTTGAATGAGAGGCTCAAAAGTGTAAGTTTCTGTGTTTGTAGTGAGGAATGGTGGGATTGATAAAATATATCAATGCTGACTACAGGTCTGTTTGACACTGTTCTGGTTGAGTCAAATTGCCGACTATTCGGGGCCTCAGTTGGATCTTACACCGTTCACTGCTCTCTTCCCTGATCACGAGGTGAGCTCTCCATTTGGGCAGTCGGACAATTTGTTTCTTCACTTCATCAGTCACCACACGCAAAGCATGGCTGCACAGCTATGCATTTATTAGTCAATACAAAGCCTCGAGATTCGAGAAGTATAATTATATAGCAACCCCTCTGTATGTAGGTAATGCCTAGAGAGGCCCTCACTAGCGAAGAGGAGCAAACTGCAGACCAACTTCTGGCAGATATTCAGACTGCTGTGGACGAAATGCTCAAGGACTTTCAGACAAACAACATCTCCCCAGAATCTACACCGCCCTCCTCTCAACCTCCACTCCACACTTCTTCCAGTGCATCTATAGACAAGGTAGGGTACATACCTACATCTCTGGACTATGTCGACCTCTCTCCTCCTTTTGTTGCTGGCAGTCTTCATATCATCACTATCAAGTAGATAGTGATCGTGAATCAGTGGAAATAGAGATGAGGATTTCTGGCGGAGGGTTTGGGTTCCAAGTGAGGGGTGGACTGGACACGATGTCGAATGCGCAGGTGGACATGGTACTACCAGGTAGTGCAGCCGAGAAAGGCAGAGTCCAATCAGGAGACGAGATAATTAGCGTTAACGACAGGGATGTGACAGGTCTCAGACATGCTGATCTTGTTGCCACCATTAGACAGGTTTGGAATTAATTAGACACAATGATTACGTTAACGTTTTGCTGTGTGGTTGGCGGGATGATAGTTAGAGTATTATATTAAGTCTGGGACTCTGGGTCTATGAAAACTGTCGTGACATCACTGACCACTCCCCCATGCAGGCTGGGAACGAAGGCTACATATCTCTTGGCCTCCTCCGGATGGTGGAAGGTTTGTTTCTCTCTCACACACACACTACCAACATTCATGATCGTAAGGATTTCCTTGGCACCAAGAAAAATTTATTAATTTTTCAAAAACACAGCATTTGATTTGTGAATAATAATAAATTCCAATGCTATTCACAGACTGTTGTTGCAATGGTAGTTGTGTCCCTCCCACCACAAATACATTGTAATAGGAAGTGTTCCCACTGGTCACACAAGATAAAACAACTGGAATTACGGATAATGGGATGTGTGTGGAGTCCAATAATACGAGCATGCACGTGTGACTGCACTGGGGTTTGTAACTTAATTGCTACATGACTAGGTGACAGGGAAACATGTATTCCAGTAACCCAACCCTATTATACAAGTTCCAGGAATGTGTGTTCTCTTGTCTCCAGAGAGACCCAGCAATCCTCTCCCGCCAGAGGAGGAGCTGACAAGACAGACCGCAGCCCTCAAGAGAATGTACCCAAAGTCACACCAGTTACTGGACTCTCCGCTTGGGTCCACACTCACTCCTGTACAGGAGGAAGAGTTTGAACTTTCACCTCCGCTCCCTCCTCTGCCTGGAGAGTTGAATGAGCCTCTGCCCCCGTTGCCTGGAGAGACCTCGACCTTTCACCCTCCGTCTAGCGACAACTCTACTCTCCCTCCACAGCCTGGAGAGTCTCAGGTATCCCCAGCTCCCTACATCTCTCCGCTGCCTCCTCTGCCAGGAGAAACTGGCCCCTCCCCCATGTCCCCTGGAGTGGCAGCAGTGGCGTCAGCGAGAGAGAGTGTCAGAGAAATGGAGGAACTTCAGCTGGCGATGGTGCCGCCACCTGATCCCTCTCCACCTAAACTACCCCCTCCCCCTCCCCAACGATCGGATCCTCCCACCTCTCCTCAATTACCACCTCCATTGGGTAAGATTAGTGAGGATTGGACTCTCCAAACTATGTTTTGGTGGCTGCATGTCAACACAGTGTTCCACTGTTGTACAGAAGAGGTGGAAGAGGAAGGAGCAGAGCTGACGTCAGAGGAACTGGAGGCAATAGTAGAGGGCTTGGGGCGAGCTAGTCAGTCCTCTGAGAGAGGGGAGGGAGAGGGAGAGGAGCAGAGAGACGGGAAGAGAGACGAAGAAGAGGAAGAGGAAGAGGAGGGAGACGTCAAGGACATACCCTGGGAACCAAAGGCACAGTGGGAGGACAACAATGTGAGAGTGGGAGAAGGGGGAAGTGGGGAGAGGAAGAAGGGGAGAATCTGGTCGTTTCTCGAGGAGAAGACGCGAGTTTCCAACGAGGAGAGAGCTCAGGCCAGCACCAGTAGTAAATTACCAACACCTCCACGGGCTCCCGTCTTCAGGTCTGTCAAATATTGCACATGTATTATGTAGTCAGCAACTATACACACATTTGACAGCTTATCGGGTAGGGGGTACCTATGTACTAGAAGAGTGCAACGCATGTTCGCGAATCACGCATAACACTACAGTAAGTTTAGTGCGGCAGTGCAGGTCACAACATATAAATTCCACATTCAGACTATATAGGTGGGCTTGGTTCGCTCGCCAATAACACTGCTCCGTATCTCTGACACTCTCACAGGAAGCCGCCACCTCCAAAGGTTTTACCAAAGCCAGTGAGAAAGAAGAGTGTTGAGCAGCCTGTTGTGGAAGAAGGGGGAGAGGGGGGAGGAGGGGAAGAAGCAGTATTCATTCCTTCTCGTGACCCCAACATGATAACCATTCAGTCCACATCATCCACCGAGCCCCTCAACGTACGGCCAGTCATGGCGGAGGAGGTGGAGCTACACGGAGACATCAAGATCCAGAAAGTTGCGCACACTCGCTGGACACCGCAGAAGAAGTCTCTGGAGCAGGTCCAAAAGACTATCAGCAATCCTGTCCATACCCCGCCCACTGAAACCCCTCCCAAACCAGTGAGAAATCACCATTTTCTCTCTTGCACGTGTGTGCACTGTTTTGAGGGATATAATTAATTCCTACAGTTAACACCGCAGGAAGGGAGGTATGGAGGGGCCACACCCCCTGGTCCGGTAAAACAGGTGTCCATGCCGCAGTTCCCTCCCCGAGGAGGGCAGCAGAAGGGGTCACGAGGTCAGCGACTGGCAGAGCAGACGCGAGTGAACCGGGCGCTACCAGTGGGGGGTCCTCCTCCAGCAGCACGAGGCAGAGTTCAGTCAGTTTCGACAGGAGCAGTGCAGCAGTTAAATGGAGGAGCCAGTTACGACAGTCTGTCAAACGTGGCAAGAGATATCCAACACCAGAGCAGTCAGCAGCAGCAGGCAAAGGCCCGCAGTCGGACATGGGGTCCCAGAGAGAGGAACAAGTTCACTGGCGGGCCCACCCAGCCTGCCCGCCCCTCCCTCGCCACGATGATACCTGACATACAGCGACAGGACGGCCCCCAGCAGGCTTTCCTAGTGAGACCTGCAGACCCCAGCCTCCCTTGCTCCCTCTGCCACAGACCACTCGGCCCCCAGCCACCTCTCATCGCAATCCCTGGCCTGCACCTCCACTTCCATCCCCAGTGCTTCGTGTGTCCGGTCTGCCACACCTACCTGTCTCCGCCCAGAGGCCACACCTCTACAACCGTGATGGTCCGCAATATGCGACCTCACTGTCACTACTGCACCTCCAATACACAAGGCAAGTCCACCCAACACTCTCTCTCTCATTGTACCATTACCACGGTGTGACCTCACAGGGGTGCAGGCAACCGAGTGCTGAGTATACAGAGAGCTCTCCACTAAACCACAGACTGTACTAGTCCTCCATGTAGCATGCCACACTATGTGACTCTTAAGAAATTGACAGTCCCTTTCTATAGCACATACAAAACATCACTTTTAACCCACACCCTCAGTCACATGACCTAGTCACATGACCTAGTCAATAGTTACCATGTTGTCAGTCTGCGGATGGTGAAGGTGTAACTGAAGAACTCCCTTCATCTGAGGCATCTTCTCTAACTCCTGTAATCATTATATTAACTTTTGAGGGAGTATAATTACAGTTTGGCCATCAGGGTTTAGAAAAATGAGGATAAGCATGTAGCTAAAGGTTCAGTGATCATCACACAACAACAGCCTTACCTGAAAGTTGGAGTGAATTTGATGAAACTTTTTTAGAATGACAGAGTCGGTAGAAGAACCAGGAAAATAGGTGTTGGGTGATATATGGAGAGTGATATCGTTCAGTTTTGGACAGGAACCTAGCAGAGGAAGAGGTAAAACTCTTCTGCTATGCACGATGGTTGCCAGACACATTATAAATAAGGACAATTTGGGACGAAAATGGGAATGGCAAAAAATTAGGGTGAGATTGAGGAAGAAAAGTTCTGGAAATGCAGTCAATGGGCGAGCATTCATTGGAAATCCATTACATGTTTTGTTGGTGACGTAGTGTATGTAGATGTGGGTGGATTCCTTCCTCCACTCACTGGAGAGGTGGTGGAGTGCCTTGGGAGACAGTGGAGTGAAGAGAAAGGAGAGAGAGCGAAGATGAGTGAGGCCTCCACTGGACAGCATGTCTGTCACGTCAGAAGAAGAGATCTGAGGTCCGTGATCCACTCTCAGTACCTCCAGCCACTGACAGTACACCACTGCACACAGTGAACGCAGTAGAGATGAGTGCAGTGGTAAAGAAAACATTGCGGGACTGTAGAAAATGCATCCTTCAGGATTCACGTGTGCGAATTCCACTAGGTAAATAGGCTTGCTTCACCAATCAAAAATAGGACTAAATCAGTGGTGATACCAATTTCCTTGAGGCCAGCAGCAGTGATGGCAGGTCCACCGACTGTCAGCTGTAGGAGGTGTGGCCAACCTCTAGCTATGGTTGACAGACAGGCGTCATTGAAATGACTGATAAATGGACTGCAGGAGAGACAGATTGAGGAATTATTTGTGTAAAGAATCCTAAAAATGAGGATTAGTTACTGAATCAGAATGTTGCAATGGATCAAGAAAAATGAGAATTCATTGCAACTGGGCAATGTATTATTAAGGACTAAGGTTGAAGTTTAGTTATAGTTGAACACTCCTCCTCTCACTGAGCCCGCAGCTAGTAATAAGAGCTGACCTGTTGGGGTATGGAGGGAGGTGAAGGGACTGGAGTTTGGGGCAGCCATTACTGAGGGCCCAGAGAGCAGCGGGCGACGGAGGAAACTCATCACTGGTGTACGTGAACTGCCTCAACTTGGGGCAGTGGACACTAGCCAACCACAGGAGTCTGCGAAGAGAGAGAGAGAGAGCACCCATACATACAGCAGCAGACACTGCTGACAAGAAAAGGTTTTAACAAAAGCACCAGTTACAGTCCAATGCTGGAATGTGTATGAAGAGACAAGAGTCTAAAGGTGAGTTGCTCTACCTCTCAGTAAGCATTAGATTGCACTCAGTCACAGCCAAACTGCTCAGGTGAGGAGCAGCGGAAAGGAGAGAGGCCAGTCCTGGTTCCAGACTACCCCTGGAATGGAACAGAGACAGGGGGTGCAGCTAAGGACAGACTCCACAATGTGGTACCTCTGTCTGGCAATGTAGGAGTGGAGGTCTTCATCAGGACCAGCCATTTCTGGCATCAGACCTGTGGTCATCACAACCCACAATCACAACATTGGTGTACTGACAAACAATGACAATGATTGCTCTGAATACAATTAGACATTGTCTCCTGACAATGATAAAAGCCTGCAATTACAATGAAATTGTTGTGTACTGACAAACAATGACTCTGATACAATTAGACATTGTCTCCTGACAATGATAAAAGCCTGCAATTACAATGAAATTGTTGTGTACTGACAAACAATGACTCTGATACAATTAGACATTGTCTCCTGACAATGATAAAAGCCTGCAATTACAATGAAATTGTTGTGTACAGTCAAACAATGACAATGGTTGCTCTGATACAATTAGACATTGTCTCCTGACAATGATAAAAATTACAATGAAATTGTTGTGTACAGTCAAACAATGACAATGATTGCTCTGATACAATTAGACATTGTCTCCTGACAATAGTGACACTGCTGTACACTGACAAAAGATGAGATGATTGCTTTAAAAGTAATGATTTTTAAGACATTAGATGGAACAAGAATATAAAACGAGAGGTGTGAGTTGTGTCTGACTGACCATGGAGGGAGAGAGAGAGAGATTCGCTGCACAGCCTTCCTAGTCTCACCAGATCCTGTGACAGGAGAAGAACAAATGTAAGCTAGGCACACAGAACCAGATGAGACAAATAGTAGTGAAGAGTGGCTAGCTCGCAGCTTGTTGGGTGCAAGTTTTAATCAACTACTGCACTATAGAGTGAGAGACAATTGCAGGAGATTGTAACCAGCCCAGAAAGAGTATGTCTTTATCCAGAACCTGTGAGGTCATGACAGTGTCAGAGATGGCGACAGTCTGCCAGAGCTGAGGATGTTTGGCTACTTCCCTCCACCTGTGACACACCTGTACTGAGGGAGGGAGGAAGAGAGGGAGAGAGGATGAAAGAAGGGTAAACCAACCTGGGATGCGGTGCAAAGCTCTGCGGTGGTGAGCCAGGAGAAGACTAGCAGTAGTGCCTGAATATAGCCGTCCCCTGTGTGAGTTGACAGAGAAGACAACGGAATGAAACAACCTTGTAAAACCGTGCTACACTTCACCATCTACCATAATGCATAGGAAATGCAGCAGTCATAGAGTTTGTACTCACTCAGGTCAACTGTATGTCTTTCTGGGTTTCCCACAGCAGCTCTGGAGATGTCTCCAGTTTGACTGTCCATTGAAGATACTGCCACAGTGGCTGAGGATCTACCTGCAGCCAGACAGAGATCTTACAGTGATTTGGTGAGAAAGCAGCTGACCTGATCCTGCCTCCATCTCTCTCACTCTCCTCTCCAGCTCCAGAATGTATGATGTCAGTTTGTGCCAAGCCCTTTCCACCTCCCTCCCTCCCTGGATTATATTGGATACCACAAACATATTTTTTTTACCATAGCCACCAGCAGAGTTACACTTTTCACCAGTTGAGCCTGCCTTCCCTGTTCAGGCACTGCATTCTCTCTCCCTACTTGAATTTCGCCTCTATTTCGTGCGGACTGTTCAATATCAGACTCTGGTGGCCTCTGAACAGAAGTGTCTGCTAGTGAGAAAGCCTCTTCTACTGGCACCGAGCTGGCAGTGTCTGCAGCAACGAGAGAAGACATTTATGCAGAGTAGTTCTTGTTCTACCAACGGGTTGAAGCTGCAGAGAAGGACGCGAGTTGCAGGCGCTGCTTCCAGCGTCTAAGACTAGCCTCCAACTCCTCTGCCTTCTGCAAGTTCGAGTCACACGCCACCACACAAAGTGTCTCCATCGTCTCTTCCATCGCCCCGTTTTGTACGCGGCGCCCGCCTTACGTTTGGCGCATGCGCATTGACAAAATGAGATGATCCACAGTTTTTTACAAAAATATGATAACAAATATCCAAACAGTTGTTTACAGTCCCAAAGACATGGTATTTTCAGAAATTTCAGCGACTTCTTTCTCTTCTTTCTTTTCCTCTTCTTTCTCTTCATCTCGTTGCACAGTCCACTGGGCGAGAAAAGGGTTGAAGGAGATGCTGACCATCTCCAGAGACTGGTCCACTCTGACTGGCAGACTCAGCACTGGCTCTCCGTAGTGACCATGGAACACTACCTCAATAGCCACACCCCCTCCCTCCTTGGCCACGCCCACTGTGGCCTTGAAAGGCTCCTCCCAACACTTGATCTTCTCCCCTCCTCCACTCACCGTCACCTCCTTCACAAACGAGAAGGGGTAGCCCAGATCATCGGCTCCTGCCACGCCCACCTGAGAATAAAGAAGTGAAGGAGACCACACCCACCAGCCACACCCCTACCTCCACATGGTCCGAGGGGGTGGAGGTAGCTGATATGATGAGAGTTCTCCGTAGCTGGAACTGAGGGATCTCCAGACCCAACTTCTTCATCAGCAGACTGCTCACCTGCCACACCAGCAGCTCCTCTTACTCTCTCTCTCTCTCTCTTCTCCTGACTCACCTGGTCAGTCTTGGCAAAGATCCTGAGAGCACAGAGGTGGTCCATGGGTGTCGACTGCAAGTTCACTATCACCAACTTCTGTCTCTTCCCCACAACCTGATAAAATGGCAGTTTTATACTGGCTTTACGCCACCCAATTTTCCACAATCTCTCGTGAGGTCTTGAAGTATACCCAAGAGAGGATAAGTTACACTTTCCTTCCCTTCACGTTCTCGCTAAAAATCTTTGCCCCCTTCTTGGTGCAGCATCTGTTTTTACCTCACCTCAGGGATGTTAGCAGCTGGTGTAACTGTGAGAGAGGAACCCATAGCAACGCACAGATCCGCGGTGTGGGCGTGGTCAAAACTCTTCCTCAGTATCTCTGTAAAGAGTAGAACCCTGCTATCCCATCAACTAATTACCTTACTGCTCACCTTCAGGAAGACTTTCGCCAAAGTTGATGATGGAATCAATTAGTCTTCCTCGACACTCAGGGTCATCACAATGCCGTCCTATTGGACAGAGTACCAATAAGTGTCCTGAAATGTGGGTGTGGTTCATACCTGTGTAGTGCAGGAGTCCCAGTCCAGTCAGGACAATGAAATCTCTGAGATATTCGTGACCACATTTGGTGCATTTCTCCACATTGGAGTTGCCATGGAGCTCAAACAGAGCTGGAAGAGAGAGAGAGGTGGAGAGAGGGAAGATAGAAATGATTGTGTAACCCAACCTTTCTCGGGCAGACCACTCCTGCGATGCAGTCCGTCACAGTTCTGACTCACCACACATTTCAGCAGTCCCTCCTGCTCTCAGAGACCACCTCTATCAACTACCTCTTCCCCTCTCTCTGCCTTACCTTCTGGAGCCTCACCAGAGCCATGTGAGTGGTGGTGGGGATGGCTTTGAGCGTGGAGGTCACCTTGTGCTTCTGACTGTCCCTCTGCTGACCTTTGGCCCTCAGCTCCCAGGCCCCCGGACCAGTCTCCAGAACTGTGTCAATTCCACTGCGGAAGTCTGGAACTGGAGCAGGGGTGGGTGTGGTCAGAAGGTCATGTGACAAGTGACTCACTGCCAGCCGAGGTACTGATCCCTGCTCCCTGAAAGTGAAAGACAAGGAAATTGATTTTTGGGACCCACTCTTGGAAATAAACATCAGAAAAGGGGCTGCCATACACAAGCTGACACGGAAAACATTTTGCATCTAAAAAAAAACAACTTTGTTTGCGCTCATAATATTTTTTCTGAAGCGTAAATTCTGAACCAATATCAAGCCACCGACTGCATCGAGATTTTGATTGCATGCATCGTGCCCGACCTTTTTCAACACTCACGGTGAAGACGAAGAAATGCTTGCTCTCCCTGATCCAGTCAGCCAGTTGCTGGACCTTCCTATCCAGCTCCTCTGGGGAATCGAAATACTCTTTCTTTTCATCGTCGTCCCTCGCTGTCCACGCCATCACAGCTAGTTCGCTTCAGTGATTGTTGACAGCTCACTCGAGTCAGCTTTATGGATGTAATCTGCAGACGTCAGCATCATGACGTTGCATAGTAAACATGCTGCATCATCCGCTGGTGGGCGTGGCTGGTTGGATCTAGTCTGGTGCGCAATCAAGAGAAGGCAGTCATGGCGTCGACAGCGAAGGAAAGAGAAGGAGAAAAAGGAGTATTTCGATTCCCCAGAGGAGCTGGATAGGAAGGTCCAGCAACTGGCTGACTGGATCAGGGAGAGCAAGCATTTCTTCGTCTTCACTGTGAGTTAGCATTACTCTCTTTTAGTGATCAGTGATTCCTGCACAATTTGAAATACAGTCATCCATTGAAATAATATAGGGTCAACAGTCATTGCCTTGTTGTTTATGTGTACAATTGCTACTTCCTTTTGAAATGTTTTGCTTTTTGAAAATGGGTCCCAAAAATCAATTTCCTTGTCTTTCACTTTCAGGGAGCAGGGATCAGTACCTCGGCTGGCAGTGAGTCACTTGTCACATGACCTTCTGACCACACCCACCCCTGCTCCAGTTCCAGACTTCCGCAGTGGAATTGACACAGTTCTGGAGACTGGTCCGGGGGCCTGGGAGCTGAGGGCCAAAGGTCAGCAGAGGGACAGTCAGAAGCACAAGGTGACCTCCACGCTCAAAGCCATCCCCACCACCACTCACATGGCTCTGGTGAGGCTCCAGAAGGTAAGGCAGAGAGGAGAGGAAGAAGTAGTTGTTAGAGGTGGTCTCTGAGAGCAGGAGGGACTGCTGAAATGTGTGGTGAGTCAGAACTGTGACGGACTGCATCGCAGGAGTGGTCTGCCCAAGAAAGGTTGGGTTACACAATCATTTCTATCTTCCCTCTCTCCACCTCTCTCTCTCTTCCAGCTCTGTTTGAGCTCCATGGCAACTCCAATGTGGAGAAATGCACCAAATGTGGTCACGAATATCTCAGAGATTTTCGTGTGAGAACTTCAAAGAAAGTTCACTCCCACTTTACAGGTAGAGTCTGCATGTGTGGATCAGGACACTGATCTACTCTTGTCCTATATATAGGGCGACTGTGTGATAATCCATCATGTCGCGGGAAACTCAAAGACACAATCATCAACTTTGGAGAAGATCTGCCAGAAGGTGTGTGGAATTACACAAACGAACGGGGGTATACCTGTATTATACAGATACGCTGGAGACTAGTTATGGGCACGGGAGAAAGGCAGACCTGTGTTTAGTGATGGGATCATCTCTGACTGTCACCCCTGCCTGCGATATCCCTGAGGTTCCACCATAATATGCACATAGTTACTGCTTACACCCATTTTAAAGGGCGACCTTAAGTTTTCACGTTCTTCACTTGGTTACAGATGGTAGGTGAGAGAGGACAGAAGTTTGGGTGATAGTGAACCTGCAGTCGACACCCCATGGACCACCTCTGTGCTCTCAGGATCTTTGCCAAGAACTGACAGGTGAGTCAGGAGAAGAGAGAGAGAGAGAGTAAGAGGAGCTGCTGGTGTGGCAGGTGAGCAGTCTGCTGATGAAGAAACTGGGTCTGGAGACCCCTCAGTTCCAGCTACGGAGAACTCTCATCATATCAGCTACCTCCACCCCCTTCAGGCCATGTGGAGGTAGGGGTGTGGCTGGTGGGTGTGGTCTCCTTCACTCTTTATTCTCAGGTGGGCGTGGCAGGAGCCGATGATCTGGGCTATCCCTTCTCGATTTGTGAAGGAGGTGACGGTGAGTGGGGAGGGGAGAAGATCAAGTGTTGTGAGGAGCCGTTCAAAGCCACAGTGGGCATGGCCAAGGAGGGAGTGGGTGTGGGCTATTGAGGTAGTGTTCCATGGTCACTACGGAGAGAGCCAGCGCCTGAGTCTGCCAGTCAGAGTGGACCAGTCTCTGGAGATGGTCAGCATCTCCCTTCAACCCTTTCCTCGCCCAGTGGACTGTGGCAACGCGGGGACGACAGTATCCCACGAACGAGATCTATCAGCGAAATATGGACGCAGAGCAAAAATTGAACAATGATGATAAAAACTTTT